CACTATCCCTTCCTACGCATAAGATCTTCCTTCACCATATTATAATAAAAACAGTATGAGTTAATCATATCTGACAAGAAGTTGGCCAAAAACAGAGGAAAGTTCTCAAGACTATTTGAAAAAGGTTTTATATTAACTATCATTAAAAGATAACTCATAGGATAAATGCATCACAATTAGCAAGACATTTAATGAGAACATGAAGAAAAACTTCTGTGCTATTTTCAGTGATGTAGAAATTAATATCACTAAAATGAATGATAAAAGTTTAAAAGCTTCTTTGGAGGTTTTACAATATATAACACAGAAGTATATGTATATATGCGTATATGATTTATAAACAAAAATAAAATAAATAAAAATAAAGATATTTAGCGGTGTATGCTCATGAGAGTTTTACTGGTAGCTGTGTGTTTGCTATGAAAAATACCAGTAGACCCACAACCTAGAGGATGGCCTTTGGGTCTGGGCACAACAATTTAGAACTCGGACAAACCAGAATGTTTCCAGCTTGGTGATGAACAGGACAGCAGTGGGGACCAAGATGCTGAGGGAGTTTGAAGTTGTGCTACCATGTCATCCAAAACATAGTGGATGTTTTGCTTCTGTTGGAGAAAAGATAAAGGGTGGAAGAGAGAAGGCAATTAATCTTACGTCTGTAGAGGGCAACACAAGAATGAAACAAGAATATCCAGGAAGAAAGATTTTAACTCATAAAAGAAAAGGGCACAGTAACAAAACTACCTACTATCACTTCCTGCGTATCCACTATGGGTTGGGTCCAGTGCTGGGTACACTTCATATATTTCTTGTATTCCCTGCAGCAACCCTATAAAGTAAGTATTTTCCTATCCACATCGGAGATGAGAAAACTAGGGCTCAGAGAAGTTAGGCGACTTTCCCAGGGTCCACAGCCACGGTCAGTGGGCTAAAGGTGTATATCAAATTACCCTGGTATTCATAATTTGTGGGATATATCATAAAAAGAAGTATTTCCATCCATCATACAGGCAAAATTTAAAGGATGACTAATACCCAATGTTGGTGAGGATGTGGAGAAAAAGACATCTTCATTTACTCTTGGTGGAAACCTAAGATGCTATAATTTTTAAATTAGACAAAACCTAGCAAAATTTTAAATATGCATACCTTTTGGCAGGCAAATCTACTTCAAATGTTCTCTATTGTTGATAACATTTGATATCAGAAACAATCCGAAATGGCTACCAATGGTTGCTATAGCCAAACACATTACTTCAAATGTTCTCTACTGTTGATAACATTTGATATCAGAAACAATCTGAAATGGCTACCAATGGTTGCTATAGCCAAACACATCATGACACATTCTTATAAGAGAATACTAAAGGTCAAGAAAGACAATGAGACAGCTGTACGTGGACTGACCTGAAAAGCCTTCCAACACACTCTAACATTAAGAAAGCAAGTTGCAGAACAACCTGTATACTATAATCCCATATGAGATGACAAAAAAAAAAAAGCAATAATATATATAAGGGTGCATGTAAAAAAATTGAAAAAGATCTGGAAGGAGACACCAAACTGCTCACAGTGGTTAAATCTGGGAAGGGGAGCAGGATGGCTGACTCCAATGGAATTGCCAAACAGTGGCAATTTCATATGTTACAATATAAAATTATGTTAGAGAAATATATACTTCTGGATTTAATGAACTATTAATAACATATTCATGTACTACTTAGGAAGATAACAAAACAAACGAATAACAACAAAAAAACAATAAATAAAGGCAGCTTCTGTCTCTCCAAACATCCAGAGACATTTGAAGGGGAAAAAAACCAAGTTGTTCTTGGAAAGCCCACAACTGTGCTAAGAGCACCACTGCGCCTGAGCACATACATCACCAGGACACAAGAGACCAAGTTCCTGGCCTGGCTCTGCCCCTCAGTGCCTACTGGGTTTTAACGGGGACACTTCACTCATAACCTCACGAATTCTCATAATCCTTAAACTGAGAAACATCACCAGAAACAGAAGAGGAAAACGAAGGGTCTGGACTAGCTGCCTTTTCAGTCGGATCCAATAATCCACAAACAACTCTGGCTGAGATCCTGGGCTCCTGGAACATTACTGTGCACCTAGAGGTCTTGGTCGGCCCCTTGGCGGCCCTCTTTCTAGTGAAACTCCCTGGTGAGAGAAGGCTCAGAACGAACGAAGTGAAAGGAGAGCATCTGGGTTCCACCCATCGCTCTGCCGCTTCCCCCCCAGTGGGAGGGACCCCAGTACTTATCATCCAGCGCTCATCTGGGCCTCAGGCTTCTTTATTTGTAATCAGAGAAAATAACGGTCCCTGGCGCAAAGGCTGTAAAAGTGCTTTAGTGTTTATAATAAGCTGTGGCATGTGATTCTCACGGGCGACCTTGGCAAATAAATTATGTCCCCATCCACAGATCAGAAAACTGAGGCTTTAAAGAAGCTAAATAACTTGCCCGCATCGCAGCGTGGGAAGGTGGTGGAATTGGCCTTCAAATAAGGCCTACACTTCTGCGCTGGTGATAATCACTTCATCGCGGTGCAGCGCTTCACAGTTTGCAATGGGCCATAAAATACATTAGCTTATTTTAATCTAACAAGGGATCCGCGTCCCCCAGAGTTCAGAGCCGGCCAAGTACATGCCGCGCAGGTACACCGCCTCCCAGGGCTGATGGACTCAACCGATGCCAGAGAACAATCAAACGTTCATGGGCACGCCCTACGGGGAGGAATTGCTACTCCAATTGACAATCGAGAAAACACACTTCTGGAGGGGCGGTGACCCGCCTGCGGTGAAGCCGGCCTCCGCCCCCCTGCCGGGCGCCCTCCGGCAGCTCCAGCTGCGGGGACGCCCTGAGTCCCCAGGGGAGCGCCCGGGAGTCCCACCCCTCCTCAGACCTCGGGCGACGCCGGGCTTGGAGACGTACCTGACGCGACCCAGAAGTCGGTTTCTCAGCAAACTCTGAGACCACCAGCAAGCCGGCTGCCGGGGTCCACGTCAGGCGTCGCAACAGCCACAGCCAGCCTCTCCGCCACCCGCCCAGTGCGCGCACGCGCAGCCCCGCCCCGGGATCTACCATCAAAGAAGTGGGGGGGTTCCCGGCGCGGCGGAGTCGCCAACGAGGTCCTTCGCGAAGCACCAAAAACGTGTGAGAAGTGTCCTCGAGATGCTGAACGGATTCCACAAAGGTATGGCCTTATGGAGTCACTTAAGTGCCCTCCTGCTATAGGCTAGAACAAGAAACTACACTCGCCCTCCCCACAAACCCATTGGTCTGGTCTCCTCAACATACTAGGGCCGTCGCCGTGGTAACGGAGTCTGGCGGTGGCTCGCGACGGTTCCTTTGTCGTGGGAAAGTGGCACGTGGTTGCGCCCGACGTTGCCTGGAGAACGCCAGGACTCACAGTAGCCAAATGGGCCTCACCCTGTTGCTCCTCCTCCTCTTCCTCCCCCCCACCCCACCACAAAGCAAAGGTGGGCACCCCATCCGGGTGGATGTGCGGGCAAAGGAGGTCGGGCGTCCTATCCAGAACTTTGCAGGGTCTCCTGAGGAGCCCGTGGCGGAACCGTCCTCGAGATCGTCTGATTCCGTCCATATCTTCAGGTAAGACGGACAGAAGAATGGTGACCCACCCCGCCCGGGTCCCCACGTCCGACTCTCATAGGCTTCTGCAAGCAGGGGAAACTGAGGCTCAGGGGCCGCTTCAAGGTCTCACAGTGAGCAAGGGCCAGAGAGCTACTAGAGAATCAACTCTAGATCTCCTAAAGTTCTAACAGAGTGTATTGGTTCCATTTGAGAAATGAAGAAACTCAGGGTTGTTAAGGGATATTTATTGGGTGCCTAGTGAGGGCACCAGGTCATCCAGCCAGTGAGGGGCAGGACCCATGAGTCTCTGGCTTGACCTGTAATTTTCTTCCAAGTGCACCTCACTGAATTGAAAAGAGGAGAGTTCCACGTCCTGGAACCAAAATCTGCACCGTCTAGCCCAGCACTGTCCATTGGAAACAAAATGTGGGCCATATATATCATTTAGAATTTTCTAGTAGCCATATTTTTTAAAGTGAAAAAACCCCAAATCAGGTGATATTAATTTGAATATTTTATTTAACTCCAAATGTCCCAAACATCATTTCAACATATAATCAATATATTTAAATTTGTACTGCTTGATTTTTAAATTTGAATGAACAGTTTAGTTCTTCAGTTACACAAAGCAAATTCCAAGGGCTCTGTTGTCACATGTGGCTAGTGGCTACTGTGATGCACAACTCAAGCCTTTTCCTACCTTCCTACCCTTGCTCCCCTCTGCTTGGATGGTGTTTCCCCTCCCTTTTTAATTAACTCTTGCTCCTCATTCAAGTCTTGACCATGTTGACTAGGTCAGTGCCCATTATGCTATCTCATAGCATTGTGTACCTACCTTCGAAGAAATTGTCACAGTTATAACACAGTTACTTATATAATTGTTTGATTACCACTTGTCTCGCCTTGTAGCTATAAGCTCCATTAGGGCGGGATCAAGACTGATTGTTAGCTCACCATCTGAGCACACTGCTGGCTTGTGTTAGGCACTCAGTAAATATTGAATTATGGAAGGTTATTAAAACATGTTCACTTTAAACAAGGACATTCAAATCTCAGGGGCCAGAATATGTGCTCTATGAGAGCAGGACGTTTCTTATTCTTTTACTCATTTGCCCCCAGCACGTAGCACAGTGCTGGACACAGGGTAGATAGTCAATGAAGTTAGTTTTCTTACCTGTCTTTTTTTTCTCCTTAAGTACTGACATAAAAGCTTAACACATTTCAGAGAATACTTATCCTAAAACAGTATAATGAAAAATTGAGAAGAGAACAGAGTGTGTATTTTAAAACACTCTTCTCTTAAGCATAATATTCAATTTTCCCAAGAGAAGAGGCTTCTCAACAGGGTCGAAGCCTGACTTTTCAGAGAACCTGTTGTAATGTGCCATAGTGTTCTCAGTCCAGGAAGAAAAGCAGAGATGGGCCCAGTTTTTTGGAAGAGAGCAGAAAACCTAAGATCGATCAAGACCCTCATCGAGGAGATGGACATGTATCATAGAATCATAGCATTTGAAAGCTGAAAAGGATCTTAGGAACCTCATCCAAATCTCTTGACTTTCTAGGTGTGGCTCAGAGAGACAGAAAGATTTTATTTCATTTCTTACTTGGAAACTAGCTTGCCGGGTGGTCTGGAGCCCCAGCTTTTTCAGCATTCCAGTCTCCTCATTTATTTATTTGTTTGTTTGTTTGTTTGTTTGTTTCAAATGCCTACAGCACCTGGTATTCATAGGTGGTCTCCCATCCAAGTACTAACCAGGCCCAACCCTGCTTAGCTTCCGAGATCAGACGAGATTGGGCACGTTCAGAGTGGCATGGCTGGAGACCCAGTCTTCTTATTTTTAAAACTACAGTTGACCCTTGAATTGGGTGGGTCCACTTATAGGTGGATATTTTTCAATAAATACATAAGTACTTTAAATATTTCATCTCATGATTTTCTTAACATTTTCTTTAGCTTACTTTGTTTTAAGAATGTAGCATATAATGCATATACCATACAAAATATGTGTTAACAATCAACTATCTATGTTACCAGTAAGTCTCCTAGTCAACAGTAGGCTATTAGTAAAATTTTGGGGGAACCAAAAGTTATACGTGGATTTT